CAGATAGTAGTATTACTTTGTTGACTGAGATTCAGGCAAAAAATTTAGGGATTACCCTGGAGCACCTGAGAAGTCAGTGACAGATTATGTGTCACTCATGTGACAAGGAGCTTCTCATCTCACTTCCCCACATATCGATGTGGAAGTATTTTAGAGAAAGAACAAATAAGAGATGAAATCAAAGTACTCTAAGACATGAGAAGGAAACAGACAGTAGTCACAATGCCATTTCCACTAATAAGAAAAGAATGCATATAGTCAGTCCCAAACATGCAATAATCATGATTTTTTTATTGTATAAACATCAGAAATAAGTTATTAGTTCTTTTTTTTTAAGCCAAGGGATAATAATTCCTGTTGTAATTCGAAGCTTGAGGGGAAAACTGAAATTCTGGAGAATCATATGGCTGCAGGAAGATGGACCTCAATAAAGAGTGAACTAAACTGAAGAGGAAGCTTTGAAAAATACACCATACTTGGAGAATACATGATACACACACACAGATTTACATGCATACATACTTATACGAGAAAGCACCTGTTTATCATCAGTTCAAGTTCAAAAGGAATCTTCACATCTAATACTGACTACACAGAAGGGCCAACAAGGAAAGATGATGCTTAAGAGCGTAAAACTGAAAGTCTATTAGGACTGCTGTTCTACAGCTTATATACAACCACTATATTATCTGCATGCACTGTGTGAAATTACACATCTCTTGGCAGCAGTTTTTAGCCAACAGCTCCTCAAATACCTTTGTTTAAAAACTATGTTATTCAGTGGCAGACAAAAATAAAACCCATTACACTTGTTTCAGAAAACGTCACTTAAAGGCTGCAGATAGGTCATCTCTTCCAGCAGAAGCTACTGCCCAGAGTTACTCACCACCACCCAGCAAAGAGAGACTACCGCCCATTCAGACCTGAAACAGAGTGAATCATGTAAGAGCACACTGATCGCCTTTGGGAAAAATTAATCAAGGTAACTGACCAGTGAAGGCAGGTTGAGCTCATACTGTCCATTTAACTGCTGATTATGCCTAAAGCACATAACACTGCGTACAGCTTCTCTTGAAAGGATCATTTAGCATGGTAATCTATGGCAGAGAAGAAGAGACAAATGGCTGAGGGACACCGTATCTACCATTTTCACAGTTATTAGGTGGGAGAAAAAAAAAGATAAAAATCAATGCCTATCCATATCTTGAAACATTAAGTAAAACTTCTGTGACAGGCTGAAAGCCTTAAGATAGATTTTGAAAACCACTAACCGTTATAGTTACTTAAGAATTCACAGACTGCCTCCTCAGAAACTGTCTGAAGTTACAAGGTATGTCTTAGGTTCGCCTCATAATTTCTGTAGATTTGTTCAGTTTGTTTATCTACATATTACTGCAAAATATCTTGCAGTTTTCTTAGTGGACACTCTGATCACTATCTTCTCTTATTTAAGTCTTTTAAACTTAAGATCTCAATATATATGCTAAACAAATTTGTTGCAGTAATTTGATGGATTATAAACAGTTATAAAAAGGAGCATATTTTTGCATTAACTACCGCTAAATGAAACAATAGGTACCAAATTGAAATTTTTTTTAAAATTAGTTACCATGCAAAAGGCCAGACTCAAAAATCCCTTCAAAATACATTATGAAATCAGATTGTGGTTTAAGGGGTCTTAGATGTAAAATATGCCCATGAACCATAACCAGACAATGTCTTCAAACTCTCAATGCAGTACCAGCTTAACCTCACAGAATAAGGCCAGTATCAAATATACTTTAAACTGGCATAATGTGTCACTGTCACCAAAAGAAACAGACACACCCTGCTCCCCTTACTGCTTGCTTCCACCCCCATCTTTGAGCCAGCACAAATGTTTGTGCAGCAAACTGATCCAGCTCCAACCAAACCCTCCCCTCCCTGCCCCTGCCCCTCCCCCAGGTTAGTTCAACCCTCAGCCCGGCTCACCACACCACATAACCATACAAGTATGTGCCTGCACAAAGAAGGAAGCAGCAGAGTATGGGGTGGAAGCAAACAGGACCATGTTTTTCAATGGTGGAGCTGGTCTACACCAGCTGTACACTGATGCAAAGCAGGAGCAAGTCACAGGCTGGAGTCCTGCACCATCACCCTGACAGATGCAGGCCTAAGAAGTGCCACTATTCCCTTCCTCTCTGGGATCCCACCTCTTCACTCACATAGCCACTGACAGGTATGCAACTGCAGGTTGAGTCGGTTTTGAGTCAACTAAAAGCTAATTCTATCAAGGGAAAAAAAAAGTTGCTCATTTTCAGGCAGTTCAGCTTCCTGAATCAGCTCCCAATGCAATCCTTACTAGCATAAAGAAGGAAAAGAAGGAAAGAGGCTGGGAAGGCAGGAGGTACAATTTTGATCAGCTTGTGATGCTGTGGAAATGCACTCATACACCACCACATTTTAAATCTAAACTTGCCTGCATATACGAACATGATTATTTTAATCAATTTGTTCCTAAGATTATTTCAATTTTTTCAGAAACCTAGGCAGCCATAGTCTACCTGGACACAAGCTGCAGGAAGAGAGGCCAGTCCACTACATTAACTAATTTCATCCTTCATGTTCAATAAAACAAAGGCAGAACATTACTTATTCTAACTTAATGATAGTTTGACCAGATATTCTTTTAAACGTCACTGATTAAATCACTTCAGATACTTGTACAGGAAGAATACATATGAAATAAAACCACTGCAGCCATGTTAAATATAAACAACCATATTTTAGTATTTACAAGGAATTTAAACAATTCTGGTGATTAAAGTGATCTTACAAACCTCTCTACTCAGGAGTGAATTTCATCCATTACTCAAGAAGTTGTTCTGCTTAAACTACAAGTCCCAGTGGTCAGAGAAGTGAACAAAATTCACTTCAATGCATTCAGAATCAGACACCTAATAAATATGGATGTAGCTACTTTCAAGCTAACTTTTAAAGTTAATTATCATAAGTAGAAGTACAGACTGTTACAATAATCCTGCTAACTTCCAAACAACAGAATTTATTACTGGGTCATTAGATTTAGTAGGGAACTATTTCCATGGGAAGTAAATATATCTGTTTATGTTCATCCAGTTGACAAAGAAAAGAAACAATTATATCAATTCAAAATTGATATATATCAACATTACAGTTCAAGAACTGAAGTGCAGAATCAGATGCATGTATCTGCAAACCAGTCTTTCCAAGTACCTTGTTTTATATTTTTCTAGTTTATGAAACTTTTTTTTTCTCACAAAGCTAGATTCTTCCACAAACTACCACTTGCCCATTGCAGCAATTTAAGACAACTGGTCTTCTCTTTAACAGAAATTTCTTGTAGGATGAAAAAATGTTCCAAAGCACTCTGCCTGTAAAAATTACACAGAAGTGAGAACATTTTATCTTGACTACAATTCACCACCAACATTTGAGACAAGACGCTGAACTGGAAAGTGAGTAAAACCCTGGAAAGCCCTTTAACCAGATATTCATACAACTGCTGGTGTATTGTTTCAGCAAACGTTTTCAAAGCATTCTTGACACAGAAGTAAATAGGGAATCTCAGTCAGGAATAAAATTCTTCATTTCTTTACCTCTGAAATGTAGTTACCGGTTTTTGGGCCTGAGCTGGTGATTTATACTGATACAAGTTTCTTTTCAACCAGGCATAGGTGGGTGTGCTGTTCAAAATCACTTGCTAACCAAGGAAAACAGACAATGAATTTCCCTGGCAGTTCTGCTGACTTTTAACAAGGTAACAGGATGCTTAGTGGATCTGAACCCGTGTATCTTGACAAGCCATTTTTAACAGAGCAATAAAACTTTTTTGCTCATTGCATTAAATGTCACTTTGTCACTAGGGCTTTAAGTTGAAAAAAAATAATCAAGCACTATTCAAAAAAGTCATAAATTAAACACTTGCTAAAAATATTAATATCAAAATACAGTTGGCAAGGTTTTAAAATCAACCCTGATTTCTACAGTAAGTATTCATTGTAATAACAGTACTAATTTCAACTCACAATCCAACAACACTTCTAGTGATTTCTAATGATGATTATCACATCTTACGCATTAACTCTGAACAAGATGCAGTGACCAGGAAGATAAGAAGACATGCTTTTGTTAAACAAAAAATTAAGTTTAGATGGAGAATCGAGTCAAACAAGTACTGAGACACCTCTTCGACTCTACAGATCCACCCTCGGTGCATTCACGTCTAGGGATATGTCAGGAAGGCAAGTTTAAAACGACGAGGCAGTGAGCTAGGTATAACTTTCATTCATACACACAGCATCACTTTGAAGAGCCTGGAGAACGCCCTTCCCCTGGCAGACTCTGTCTGCTGGTCCCAACTCACGGACCCGACAGAGCTCTCAATTAGTCTCAGGGCTTGCACCTCTAAAGCCCCTGGGCTTGCTCGGTGATTTGGAACAGCAAAGGCGGTTGTCTCGGAGGCATGTGACAGACGCAGCTGACCTGGGGGAAGGTGCGAGCGACTGACAGGTCACACGGGATGAGACAAGGCCGTCAGACACGCCGAGGAGGCGGCAGGTCAGGCAGCCGGGACCGCTCCCCGCGGACCTGCCTCCAGCACAGCCACCGCCGGGACAACTTCATCGCCTGCTCTTTTGTTTTTAAACTCATTCTCCGCTCGTCCACCGCCGCTCCCGGCCCAGCCCCAGCCCCAGAGCAGGGTGGCGATCCCCCCCGGCCTTCCCCGCCCACAAACAACCCCCGCCCGCAGCCCCCGCGCCGTGGGGGCCCCGCCGCCACCCACCTCCCGCACCCGGACCCACGGGGTAGGAGAAGCAGGTCCTATCGCAGGGCACATCCCAGCCCTGGCTCCCACGGCAGGAGGCGAGAGAAGGGGCTGCTCCCGGGCCCGGGAGGCTCCGCTGCCGCCCCCTCCCAGCCAAGCCGGCCGGGCACCCCGCGAGAAGGAGCCGGGGGAGGAGGCGAGGACCAGCACCCACCTTGGCCATGAGCCCCGCGCCGGCCGCCGGGCCGGGCCGCCTGTGACGGGCGAGACGGCGGCCCCGCGTCGGGCCGGGGCACGGCTGCGCCTCCGACCGCGGCAGCGACAGGGCCGCGCTCTGGGCCGGACCCTGCCCGGCTCCGCTTCCGGAGCGCCGCGAGCGCCTTCCGGGGCAGCGCCCGCCGGGCCGCGGGGCGGGCGGGGCCGCGGCTCCGGCACCGGCGCCACGGAGCGCGCCTTACTGCTTCCTCGGGTTAAAAGAGAATAGGGAATTAAAGCTGCAGTTCCGCGCACAGCTCTAGGAAGCGCTGGCTCGGATTGGCTTGGTCCCGTGTAAGTTTTGTTGTACTCGGTGTGACCGCTGTTACTGCAGACACTGGCGCGGTAGCCCCTCCCCCGCAGCCGCCGGGGCTGCGCTCTGTTCGTGAGGTTGCGCTGCCTGCGACGGAAAGCAGAGGTGGGCACGGTGCACGTTAGAAACAAAGATACAGCAGAATTAATGTGGGAAACGAGAAGAACGGGAGGAGGTGCCACACCTGCGTGTTGTGCAGGTTTGCGGAGATGCTTAACACTGCTGTTAGTGCAAAAAAAAAAAAAAAAAAAAAATCCCACGTTTTTTCTTGGTGTCACTTACCTGCACATCACCGCGTCGGTTCCCTGTTTACAGCCCAAAACGTTTTCATCTACAATTAACCTTGAATATGTAGTTTTTGTTTCGACACACAAGCACATGGCTCACAGAGCAGCCAGCAGCCTGCACAAAACACTCAGCTTTGTCTCACATTGTGTTACATATGTTTTCCTCTTGTTATCCAGCTTCTCTGGCCTTGATCTAACTTCTGACCCCTTTGCCAAACAATGCCTTGCACCGAGTTGCTTCACAGAACAGGTCTGTCTGTGTATCTGACTTTCTCAGGGGTTGTGCAACTCCTGTTTTGACTGTGTTTCAGTTATCTCATGACAGGGAGAATGGAGAATCTTGCCCTCAGAGGTGCTCACTTTCTTCCCTTCCCTGGACAATTACTGTTTTGTAGCAGAAGTGTCAGAAGCAAATGCATGACAGTACTCCACTACCCCAACATTCATTTAATCTGTAGATTTTGTGAGAGCTGGAAAAGCTAAAGTCCGTGCAGAGATTTTCTGCAGATGTATGTGCTGGAAAGGTGATAGTATCTAGAAGGAAGAGGGGGCTGAGGTCACTCGCTGTCTTTGGCCTGGAGATGGGGAGACTGAGGGGAGACCTCACTGCAGTTACAATTTTCTCGTGAGGGGAAGAGGAGGGGCAGGCACTGCTCTCTTCTCTGTGGTGACCAGTGACAGGACTCAAGGGAATGGCCTGAAATTGTGTTGAGAGATTTAGGTTGGATATTAGAAATAGGTTCTTCACGCAGAGGGTGGTTGGGCACCGGAACAGGCTCCCCGTGGGGAGTGGTTACAGCACCAAGCCTGACAGAGTTCAAGAAGCATTTGGACAATGCTCTCAGGCCCATGGTGTGATTCTTGGGGCCTGTGCAGGGCCAGGAGTTGGACATGATGATTCTTGTGGGTCCCTTCCAACTCGGCATATTCTGTGATTCTGTGAGAGAGCACAACTGTGGTTTAGCGTCTGTACCATTGCAGCTGTTGGCTTCTGTGCGTGTGAGTCAGAGAGCTGGATGGATAAAGCAGAGCAAATGGGATTTTCCTCCAGCTGAGTCATGTAATAGGTGAAGTTGTGCAGCAAGCTCTGTCATTTAACATACACTATGTGCTCATATCCCATAAACACAATACACCAATGGGCTACAAAACAATAAGCTGCTCTAAAGACAAACATCTGCAGGATTCCTTGTGACCTTCAGGTCGCAGGACTGGCCTAAAGTCTGTTCAGATTCAGTTGTTGATCTCAATCTGCGAGTTCACATTCAACTAATTCACATTCAACACATTCACATACCTTGCAATTTTTCCATAGTCTTTTCAGCAGTGTCTGGATGAGCAAGGAACAAAGTTTTGACATGTCTCTTCTGGGTCATTTATTTTTTCTCCCCCTTGAGCTTTCACCATGCCTTCACCAGTTCATGTGAATGGCTGCACTTAAGTTATATGTGGGGATTTGTATTAAATTTGGACTTGTTCAATGTCTTCATCAGAGGTGAAGTCCTGGTTTTGTTCTTGTGTGAAATCCTTACTGCTTACCTGAGTGTTACCTTATCCACCTCACTCAGATTTACTGACAGACAATTCAGTATTTACATACTGGAACTCTGCTGCATTTTGTGGCTGTTATGTATCTTTCTCCAGGTGATTTTCTGGCTTCTTAAGACCTTACTGTGTTGCATTCCTGCTGAGAATTTCTAACTGTCATGTTGTTCCTTCTCTTTCTCACTTCATAGATGTTTTGGATCTGTGACATACTGGTTGCTGCTCGAAACTACAGTCATTTTTGTCATCCCAATCTGAAACTATCACAGCTGTCTTTAGATGTCACATCAATTACTAGTCTTTCAAAGATTACACAGCTGCTTACAGACTTCTGCAAATTATGAACTTATATTGCTTGAAGTCTTTTGATGGCATCTTTTAGATCTTGCTAAATTTTCTTTGCATCACCTTTGAAGTCAAAGGCTTCCTCTGTTGTTTCACTCTAGCTCACATTCTCTCTTTTTAGAAATTAGATGCTGCTGCTACTTTTAAAGCTTTTCCATAAGTGATTATCCCATAACTAAAATTTGTAAAATTATTATTTTAGTAACTAAACCTTTCAATTTGTTTGCTTGAGCATTTTTTATAGGGTCTTTTACAGTGGCTACTGGGTGGGCTAAATGCATGGCTTTTTGAGGCAAAAAAGTAATCATACATTTCATTGTTCTCTTGATTCATAACTGGTTTACCAAGTTGAATGGTCATTTTAAAGGTCTTAAATTTTAGTACTCTTTAGAGTTTTCTCTTTTATTAATAATTAAACTTTCATCCTAAATGAAAATTTTCAGGGTTTAACACCTCCCTTTTATTTAAAAATTAGGTCATATAAATATTTTGGAAAGATGCTTAGTCTTTGAAGATGAAGTAAAATTCAACTGCATTAGATATATTGTAGCTTCTGTTTCCAGAAATGCTCATTGCACTGTCGTAATGTATATCCGTGTTGGTTCATTGACCCCTCTTTTTCCAGTTTCTGGATTCTTACAAGATTGTACCAACATGTTGTGGTGGCTTTTATCATGAAATTTGAAGTCTGCAGGTGAAGTGCTTTTGCCTATGACCTACGTTGATCTAGGCAGCATTCAATTCTGTAAGCAAGAGTGCAGTCCAGTCACGTACAATATTTTAACAGCAGATTTTTCCCCATACTCGGCACTGGTGAGTCCTGTGTCCAAGACTCCTGCCCTCACTACAGGAAAGACACTGAGGTGCTGAAACGTGTGTGGAGAAGCGCAGTGAAGATGCTGAAGGGTCCGGAGCACAAGCCCTGTGAGGAGCAGCTGAGTGAGCTGGAGTTGTTTAGTCTGGAGAAAAGGAGGCTCAGGGGTGACCTCATCACTCTTTGCAACTACCTGAGAGGAGAGTGTAGCCAGGTGGGGGTTGGCTCTTCTCCCAGGCAATCAGCAGCAGGACAAGAAGAAATGGCCTCAAGGTGCACCAGGGGATGTTCAGATTGGACATCAGGAGGAAGTTCTTCATGGAAGGGAGTGCCAATCCAGTCATGTTGCATTCTGCATCCCCTCATGTGGCATAAGTAGAATAACACTTCGTATATCAGGTCAACAAGTTTTTGTTTTCACAACCAAACAAACCCCTTGCATACAATAAGGGCCATACAGCAGCTCCTCATAACCTGATCCTGCATTCCTTCAGAAAGCACACCTCCCCAGCACAGTTAAGCACATAAGCTATAGCTAATCATTTTAACCAGTTCACTGCTTCATTGAGTATTGTCACTGTTAGCTGTGATTTCAGTTAAAAGTGAAAAAGAAGTTCAAATCCAATAGTAAATAAATGTGTTTTACAGCTGGACATTTTGATTCACATAGTGATTTTTTTTCCTGAAATAACTGCTGGAATATGACAGACTTTCTGCTCTTATTTCTGTGGTAGCCAGAAAAAAGTCGAGCAGACCTGGTCATTCAGGAATTCTTCAGATGGCTATTTGTATTTTAATTTGTTTTTCTTCAGACATATAAATTGTCTTCCTTGTACAAATACACCACTGATATTGTTAAGGCATCTCTGAGCTGCAAGTAGTATTCTATGGAAGACAGTTGGTTGGTAGACTTTTAAAGATAATACAATGATTTTAAACTTAGGTATTTTTTCTGACCTCATTTTAGACTGAGCTTGCTGTCTGAGATACTATGTAATTTACTGTTTGACATGCTAGGTATGCTTTACCATTTGAATATTCAAAGCCTGAAAAACATCATTGCAAGTGAAACTGCTTTTTGGGCCTCACAAGTATATATACTCATTCAGTTCTTCTCACAAATGAATATTCTACTTAACCAAATTGAGCTGGTTTCGTTTTCCCAACAAAGGCTGTCACATGCAGTTCCTGTAACTTCCCAATGATTGTTTCCCCAGAGGAGCATCAATATGTTGACTGTAGAACATACACACGTCTGTTTCCAACTAGCCTGTAATAACCAAGTGGGTCGTAAATCTAATTAAATGCAAAAAAAAAATACAGTGTGTTGCAGTAACATTCAAGATCTGACTTCAGCTGACAGCATTTTTTTTCCAAATGAAGATTGCTGCTATGACCTTGCTTCACCCCTTTGTGTTTCAGAGTTTCAAGGCTTTGGAACTGTGCACACTTGACTATGTACTATGTACAAAACAGTGTTCAAAGAGCATTGTCACAATAGCAAACTTAAAAATTAGGCAGCTGTGGTTTTGACTCCTTTGTGGGCACCAAATATGATAGAATTACGTAGCCTATCATAGCCTACCGTTTTTCTAGTCTTGCCTTCAGGACACAGAACAGATACCTCTCACTGGAGAAAAGAGCTGGTTATTTTAAACCTCTGCATGCAGCAAGTGCTCTTTGCCTTATTCATTTATTCATTTAGTGAATAACTACTTAGGTATTCTTAGGTCATTTGTCATTGTGTTAGTTGATACTTCGTTAGCATTAGTGGAATTTTTTCTGGGCTTCTTTTT